ATTAACCAGGTATGGTGGCGCATGCCTGTAGTCCCAGCTACTCGGGAGGCTGAGGCAGAAGGATTGCTTGAGCCCAGGAGTTTGAGGTTGCAGTGAACTAGGCTGATGCCATGGCACTCTAGCCCAGGCAACAGGGTGAGACTCTTGTCTCAAAAAAAAAAAAAAAGAGTCTTAGGTTCAATTCATGTCTCTCACATTCACTAGCTATATAACCCTGAACAAGTTAACTAACTTCTCTTTATCTCTCATCTGATTGAAGAAAACCAGGGAGTGGGGTGGACAGTGGCACAGATTATAGTGCATATTCTGACAGGGTATTCAAAAAGATTAAACAAAATATACATAAATTGTTTAGCACAGTACCTTTCACATACTAAACATTTAATAATTATTATCTATTATTATCCTCATTAAAGTTCTAACTCCTAGCACAATACCTGGCACACAATAGGCATAATTCAGTGTTTGCTAGATTGGGATGAATTAAGATCATCATCCCTAAATAATCTCTGAAGAAATCCCTTTCTAATTCAACATTGGTTAATCCATTTACACAACCTAGTTATTGAGACAGTTATTTCACTGTGTGCAAAGTACTGTAGTGGATGTAAAGGTAAACAGTATGTACACTAATAATTTGGTGAGGGAGATATATATAAATCAGTCCACAATTAGTATAGCATGATTATCATAGAGATTAAGCAAAGAGCACTATCAATATAGTAGCAGCAATAAAAGGAGTACCTAACCCAGTCTGAATCAGCAAAGTTTTTTAGAAGTGACATCTGAACTCTTATGGAACAAGAGTAGGGAAGAGTGCTCAAGCAGATGGAACAGCATGAGTAGAGATCCAGAGGTCAGAGAGATTATATATAGTGCTTCCAGGGAACTTTTAATAGGAATAGGTTCAGTGGTTTTGGAGTATGGAGTGGAAAGGAATGGGGCCATGTAGATGTGGTAAAGCCACAAATACCTCTCACCAGAACTACTACAGTATCTTCCTAATTGATCTCTCTGCTTCTACTCTTGCTCCTCTACATTCGTTTCCATACATCAACCAGAGTGATCTTTTTTAGTATACAAATCATATTCTCTTGCTCTTGTATAAAACCCTCTAATGGCTTTTCATCTTTCTTAGAATAAAGTGTTCCTTATCAAGTCTTACAAAGCTCTGTATCAATAATTCTTACTTTTTTTGTGCCGTGGACCCCCTTAGCAGTCTGACGAATAAGCCCATAGATGGATCTCTTCTGAGAATAATGTTTTTAAATGCATAGGATTACAAAGGAAACTGATTATATCAAAATACATTTATCAAAATATTAAAAATGTGTGGGCCAGGCACAGTGGCACATGACTGTAGTCCCAGCTACTCAGGAGGCTAAGGCAAGAGGATCACTTGAGCCCAGATGTTTCAGACTATTGTGCACTAGGATTGTGCCTGCGGATAGTCACTACACTCCAGCCTGGGTGACATAGCAAGACCCCATCTCTTAACAACAAAAAAAGAAAATTACAGAATAGTTACGTAGGCTTTAATAACATCTTTAATGATAAAGCTTTAACAGCGGATCTGCTAACTACTATAATGTTGAAGTACTGTATTTTAAGATCTATAATAACTATAATGTGATATAAAAGCTGTGATTTTTGTTGATAAAGTCACAATGTAGCTAATAGCTACATCATAATTAAATGAAATACCAATTTTTAGTTAAAAATTAGTAAAAATAAAGATAAGATTTTTTCCAAGTCTAAGTTCACAGATCCGATGAATTCTGTGAACCCTATGTTAACATCTCCTGCTATATAAAACCTCTCCAGTTTTATCTTATTCTGTTCTTCTCCTTACCTTACATTTCATCATGTAAACTTCTTTGAGTTTCCACCTTAAGGAGTTTTAGCTGTTCTCTTTGCCTGAAAAGTTTGGCCTTGTCCTTGTTATTCAGTTCTCAAGTTAGATATGACTACCTTACAGAAGCCTTTCTTGGTTCCCCAGTCTGAAGTAGCCGTCCAGTTTAGATTGTCTACATGGCTTGTGATTCTTCAGGATTTATTACTATCTGGTATTTCCTTGTTTATTTTGTATCAGTTTCATGCGAGCAAAAACCTTGTCTTATCTTGTTCATCACCTTTTTTTTTTTTTATTTCAGCATATTATGGGGGTACAAATGTTTAGGTTACATATATTGTCTTTGCCCTGCCTGAGTCAGAGCTTCAAGCTCTGATGAGGCTAATTTTATGTAGTTAGGTTGACAATGTATTAAAACTTTAAAACACTTTATTACCAACTAATATGTGCAATAGACATTCCTGAGGCTTGCCTGTAGGCAGTCCCCTCCTCTTGTTCAGCCCTAGTTAAAGTGAGAAGCTCAGGGATGAGATATAGAGTAAAAGCAGAGATTTGGTTAGGAATATTGTTTCACTAATTGTTTTGCATGTTTTAAAATTGCAAATGTGGTTTTTATAAGTCTTCATTAAAATGTGTTGAGTCAGTCTTGATAGTCATAAGATAGGTCTCCATTGCTTGCTTATAGCACAAAAAACAAACTCATAAGTACAGGATTTAAGTCCCTTTATAGGCTTTTACCTTTTACTCCTACGTTAATTCCTAACACTCATATTCCACATCTCAGCCTTGCTAGCTTGTGCCACTCACACTTAGTTACCTGTGGTGTTTTCAACAAACCATATTATATTCCACTCTTTACCTAGCATATTTATATTCATCCTTTAAGATCTAGATTGCTGTTAATTCTATTTCTCCCTCCTTTTCCCCCAGAGAGTTAATTTGTACTTTGTTTTTTACTACCAAAACACTTGATATATTTTTCTACTAGCGTATTGCCTGTCAGACCGTATTGTAGTTATTTATTCATATCTCCAGGTTGCCATAAGCCCTACTTTTAGGAAGGTCTTTTTTATTTTAAGGTTAAAGGCAATAGAGTATAGAAGTTAAGAGCTCAAGTTCTGGTCCAGGAACGGTGGCTGACATCTATAATTCCAGCACTTTGGGAGATAAAGGCAAGAGGATTGCTTGAGGCCAGGAGTTCAAGACCAGTCTGGGCAACACAGTGGGACCTCACCTCTACAATTTTTTTAAATAAGCTGGATGTGGTGGTGAATGCCTGTAGACCTAGCTCCTCAGCAGGCTGAGGTAGGGGGATCATTTGAGCCCAGGAGTTTGAGGCTGTAGTGAGCTGTGATCACCCTGAACTCAACCTCAGCAACAGAGCAAGACCCTGTCTCAACAAAATAAAAATAAAAAAATAAACCTATATTCTGGGATTAAGAGTCTTAGGGCCA